GCTTTAAAAACTATAATACCTCCTTCATGATTGATAATGGAAAGCATCTGAGGTGCAATATTTGTTGTCAACAAAATATCTGATATGGACATTTGAGTAAGAAAGAAATACATTGGAAAATGAAGATGTCTGCAACATGACACTAACACAATGATGAGGACATTTCCCGATATTGTCAAACAATAAAGAACAAGAATTATAGAAAATAATAAATGTCTCATGCTGTGAAGGTGATGGAATCCCAATAGGATTATCTCAGTCACCATTGTGTGATTCTCCATATCTGTCGGGAGATAAAAGAAGAGCATTTTATACAATGACATGATATTTAGCAGTGCAATATACCATTATAAACAATGTATATTTTTTGGCATTACTACAACCTATCTGTATATCTCAATAACCTATTCTCATAAGCAGTGTAAATAATGGCTTGATTTCATTTTGGTTTTCAAAGTAAAACAAAAGCTTGTAAAAAAATAAAAAAAATAAACATTTACCTGTCTGCTTCAACAACGGTCTTAACTAGACTTGAGCATGGTGGAAATATTCAGTTTAGCCAAATAATTTTCCTAAAATTAAAATTTTGTACAGAATGCCCGATGCTTGTTTTACGGATTTTGGTTTGGCTAAATAACATCCATGAAATATTATTCTGGAAACCAAAAAGCGTGCAAGAATGGGTTATTTTGTCTACTGCAAAAAAATATACACATTATATTAGGTAAACATTTTACAGCATATGGATTGGTTCAATTTTACACCTTTCTGATTTGTTTCCTGATTCTGCCAAGCCAAATTGTGGGTGTCTCAAAAAAATCCCTCTAAAATGACAGAGGATATAATATATCACTATATAGTACACATAGTGTTTAGAAGATTACTTAACAATAAGTGAGCTAGCAAGATTATAGACATGGCTGAGCTATTAGGGTAAGGCTATTTAGTTCTTTGGGTGATATAAAGTTCATTAAAAGATGCATTTCATGATACGGAATGAATGAGTAATAGATTGCATGCATCGATCTTCAGAGATATGGAGCAGCCTTGGCAAAAACATTTATAGGAGAGATGGATTTTATATTAAAAAGGTGCTGAGGTCTTTATAAGAGTTTAAGGAGATTGCCCAAACATATTAAACAGAAATGACAGTGATAATAATAGTAAATACAGTTTTGTTTTGTTCATGAGAGACAAAAAGTTGGAGACATTTTTAAAGTATGCATCAATTAAATGGGTGACATAAAGGAGAGAAGATATTCTGCAGTATATTAAAATCACAAATAACACAGATTATGTTACTATTGATCATGAATAGTGACTCCCTCCTAAAAATGCAAGAACCTGAGGAAAGTAAGGAACCTTGTTAATCTTAGTCGCCATAGATGAATCAAACCAATAAAAGGAAAATATCTTACAGAGCTATTCACTAAAGTGAGAATTCAATGTGAACTGAATTATCTCAGTCATCTATGCTTTCTGTTCAGCTACTCTGCCCTTAAAATTTCATTTTGAATTCTCACTTTAGTAAATAGCCCTGTTAAAGTGAAGGTGGATGTCTCCTAATTTCTATTTAAGTTATGATTCCTGTCAAAAGTATAACTAAATACTTTCATGATAAATATATATATAAATATAATGCAAATAATAGACATATTAATACTAAGTTTACTCACCTTAGTCTTTAAACTTGAATGATTTAATTTGTCTCCAGATGTGTAAATAATGCTCAATAATAAATACAACTTCATTTAGAAAAATCAAATATTTTTCTATATCTATATTTACTGATGAAGTCTGCAATGTCACAAATCTTCCAATAATTGCCTAGAGAAGATCAAAGCTCTGCCAATCAATATGACACAATATATCACGAGAATCATAATAATATTAATAATAATAATCACTGTAGATGTCGTCATACTGTTAAGCTATTTTCATTGCTGAATCATTGCAATAATTTGAAGAGATTTAAACTAAGAAATGATACTGAACTTAGAAAATATATAGAATGATAATAAATATTTACAACTTCCACATTCGACTCTCCATGCTGGTTTTAGTTTGATTACAAATCTGTTTGCTTAAAAAATATTTTTGTTTTGAACAGAATTAAAACTTTGAAGAAATAAATGAAGAAATAAAAGTAAAAGAAAGCTATTGATTGAAATTCAAAAACTAATTCATATTCTTTTACTTTCCATTTTGTTGCATTTGCTGCAGGACTGAAAACAATTTCTAACTGGACCCAAAAATGGAGACATGTATTTACAAGAATCAATTTTTATTTACGTGTTAGCATATTATATATAACTAGCCAAAAATGTAAGAAAAAATACATAATTAAGACAAATTATGCATAAATCGCCCTGTAAGAAATGCTGAAAAACTAGTTAAATATAACATGATTCAACCACACCATTGAAAATTGGCTTACTTATACCATAAATGACTATTCGTAGTTTGTATCAAATAATTAAAAACAATTCTGTAAATAATGCAATAATGGTCTATCAGTCATGAACTTACTTGAATCAGCATCTGAGAGCCAACATTTGGTGACTCTTTAAATCTATGTAATATATTTCAAAAAAGAGCTTTTATATAGTTATCTAAATACACAGACATTATCTTAAGGCTCTACAGTGTTATTAACATTAGTCCATAGAGTAAAATGCACATACATTCCATAATACTAGTGGGAGCATTTTAGTTTTCCAAGACAATGTTGTTTCATTTTGTGTTCATTCAACACAAGCAATATGTCTAAAGAAACGTAGAATTCATGACTAAAGGTGCTTGAGCAATTCACATAATCCAGACAGTTTATTTTATAGATTGTTAGTAAAATGTTACTTTTACAAAATAACTACTAATAGAAAATTTTAGACAAGTATTCTAAAATCTACTATGTTAAACGGAGTATAATGAATATAATTAATAGTCATCTAGGATGAAGAATTTTATCTTATTCAGAATATCTTTATACCCTTTTTCAAGAACTGTCATGTTTTCTCCAGAAAAAAAGGCATCCCAATTTGCAACACTCCATACATAGGTTGAAATTGTATATCACCCTTTTCAAGTAAAAAAGAAAAAAAAAAAGAGTTAGCCTTTTGTATGATACAATGTGAGCCTGAGGGTGAAGTGTAAGTTTTGTTTCCCAATATGGATGGTTACTGTTCCCCAACTTCAAGCTATAAGGTAATACATAGATATAAAGAATACAATGAATAGTGAAGCCTGCATAGTTTAGTATAAATCTCCTGAAGCAGAGAAAAAGCCTACTTAAATATTCCTGACCACATGTATGCTCAATATGAGAAGCATGAGTTATGCATATACTTACCATGAACAACACAATACACAGCAACTTTTCCAAAAGCAAAAATGAACTCATTACAATAAAGTCAAGTAAAACAAATATAAAAGTTTAAATGAAAAAAAAAGTATCAGACACTGGCATATTTCATGTGTAACTGACTTTTTCAAAGTACAAATAATTAGAGGATCTAGTGGTTATATAAGTGCCACTGATAGTTTTAATCTGCGTTCTGTCTTTGTCATCGCTAATGTATGGATTTATGTTGTGAGTTGATGATATCTACAGTGTCAGGATGCTATGTGCTAATTATGGGTATTTGGGTCTGAACCTGGGTCTCCCAGTCAGACACCTTGCCCTTGACTCCACGTATCTCTTGTTCCTTTTATGTAGTTCCTGGGTTCATGCTGTCTGAATCTCTAATTCTGGACATTTGAACACCTGTTCCTGGCTCACTGATGATTGGGTGAGACTCCCTATTTAAACCCTGCTAAGCTGGTTCTTGTTGTCAGATCATGTTTCCTGTTCCTGTTTGGTTTCACTGCTATTCATCTGACTCCTGGTTTTAATCCCTGCTCGTCTACCGTTTTCGCCTGATTGCCGCCTGTCCTAACTTCTGATTCTGTTACTGACTACTCTTCTGGATATCCCTTGTCTGTACTGCGTTCCTGGAAGCACTGGTTATTTCAGCCCCAGTGCACTGTGTCGCAGCCTTGGGGATTTCTGTCTTGAGTCCTCTCATCCTGTGTCAAATTGCAAAGGGTACTTTAACTCTAACTCTGCCGGACTCCCACTCCATGTAAGATCCCTGACATACAGGAAGTGACACAACTCCTTTGTGTGCTTTTCCTGACTTTTTTCTTTTGCCATCATTTCTGGTGTTAGTGCATGTCAGTACGCATTAGCGTCACTCCACCTTCCTGTGTTACTCTGCGTCATTACATTTTGTCTGGGCACCATATTAGTTGGGGCTTTCATTACCTCCAGTCGTATATAACTTCTGGCAAAGTGCATTATGTTGTGTTTCTTCCTCCGGGAATATCAAACAGTAGCCTTTTTGAAGTGGGTAAAAATATCCTTCATTAAATTAAATTTGCAACTAATACAGTAAAACATCTCTTTAAAACAACTATAGGGGGCGTGGCTACCAGCGGAGCAAGATGGCAGCGTAATCTTTAGCTCCTGCACATGGGCTCCGAAAAAAACACGATTAAAGCAAATTACAGACAACCTAGAGTCCCATCACTACATCATGTCCCAATCTAAACAGAAGAGGCAAGCATCTAAAGCCGACAAGCACAATTTCTTTGTATAATCAAAGCTGGAAGTGCACTCAGCTCCTCACTAGGGAATCCAGGGTGCTCTTGAAAAAGTCCCAGTACCCAAAAGGACCAAGCGGATAAATTTGTAGAAAATGATCAAGGCACTCCAATAGTTTCCAATTCTTAAGGCAATTTATTTAGACCAGGAACTACAAAGCAACATTTCAGCCTGGTCCAAATAAATTGCCTTAAGAATTGGAAACTATTGGAGTGCCTTGATCATTTTCTACAAATTTAAGCACAATTTCTTTGTCCAAAATACGCCATCTTCAAAACAAACAGTGCAGACGCACCAGCATGATGGCGGGGAGGACACAGATGGAGATAATCCATCCAACAACGCAGCTGATCAAACGATGGAGGAGACAGTCATTAAACAGTTCCTCATGGAGCAACTGGAAGCCTTCTCAAGCAAAATGATGGCCGGTTGGACAGCAGGCCTGGCAAGCCTGAAAAAAGACATACGAGATCTAGGGGCCACAACCTCCTGCATAGAAGAGAAAATGGAGGAGAGCCTAGATGCGCACAATCAATTAGCAGCACACGTAAACACGCTGCAATCAACAATACTCACCATGGAACACAAATTAATGGATATTGAGGCCAGAGCATGCAGAAACAACCTGAGACTAAGAAATATACCGGAAACGGTGACACTAGCAGAACTGCAGGCCTACCTCCATGATTTCTTTCATGCACTGTCACCAGGCCATCTGCTATGCTGCTTCTAGACAGAGCACACCGGGTACCTAAACCCAGACACTTGCCGGACACGGTCCCCAGGGATGTAATCTTATGCGCCCACTATCACCACGTGAAAGAACTTCTCCTCAAGCAGAGCAGGACAAACAAGAACTTACCTGCTCAATACAACAACATCCAGGTATTCCCGGACCTGTCCACGGCAATGCTGAGGAGGAGGAAGGCTTTCCAACCAGTCACCAGCATCCTCAGGCAGCATCAAGTCCCCTATCGCTGGGGATGCCCTCTCAAACTCCTCATCTCAAAGAACAGAAAGACGGAGACTACACTCTCACCAGAAGACTGAGACAGACTTCTCAGGAAATGGAACTTACCCGGCCCGGACAAGCTGCCTCAAGGGACCGCCGTGATACCAAGAGACTTGCAGAAGGCCTTGTAATCACAAACTAATACCAGCCAAAATAAGTAACAACCATGCCC